ATAAACATTTCATTACACCAAATACACAAAATAATGTTATTTTTTAGCAACGTCATATGACCCCTTTAAGATACATACACATAAAATTATGTCAAAAACCCTTCACAGCATTGTCATTCTCTGTGATTTAAATATTTATTTCTTGTTTCTTGCACAATGTGATGCGATGAACCACTATGTATATATATATATATATATATATATATACATATACAGTATCTTTATATATATATATATATATATATATATTAGTAATGATATGAAATGTTTCTTGAGCACCAGATCAGCATATTAGAATGAATCATGAAGGATCATGTGGCACTTCTTCTTTTAAAAAAAACTAAAAAAACCCCAGAAATTTAACTAGGGGGCCAACACTTTTTCACACCACTGTATATATGTATATATAAAACCACCCTCCCCCTCCAGCCGGTCTGCGATAATATTTTCAAAACGTAACCGCTTCGTGATGTAAAAAAGTTTGGAGACCCCTGCCTTACAGTATACAACAGTTCCCATGCAGTGTCCCAGACAAGCTGCAAGTCAAATAATTAAAGAATCATTTTATTATTTTTAAGCAATAAGTAATTATTAAGTGACTGTTAAAAATGATGTTTTATAGTATGTATGTGTGTGTAGTATAAATGAAATTCAGATTTACTACATCCACCATGTAGGATTTGGTAGCAAAGCAATGCAACACTGGTAGGTCACATGACATTCACAACTCCTCTCCTGTGGCCTCATGGGATATTTGAGCATCCATTGGATGCACAAAATATCACCTGTAATAATAGGGAATCTGGGTACTTTCATCTGCAGTTTTATGAATACTGTAAATTTGGACATGCTCTTTTTTGCATACTAAATAGTAGGCAAGTATGCATATTTGGATACAGCTCAAATGACTGTTTTAAGAGTGAATCACTGAATCATTCACTCAAATGATTTGTTTAATAATGCATTGCCTTTCATTAGAAAATATTGTTAAAAAGACAGTAATTGTCAATATTTTTAATGCATTTAAATAAATTCAAAAAAATTAATTTGTGTTTATGGCATTTGTTTATTTGTATTTATTTATCATGGACAACCAATTACATTACTCTCAAAAATGGCTATTACCCAAAATGAATACACATTTTATTTCTTCTTGCTCATGTTCCAAATGTTTAGATTCTCTCACAAAATGAAGGAACTGTAGCTAATGATGCAGCATTACTGGCTACTGAACTGTGCTGTATAGTGCCGTCCATTTAAAATGAGAAAGACGCATACAGTACTGAAGGAGTCAGTCACAGTTTTGTGTATGCAAGCAGATGTGTTATGTGTGTGTAGCTTCAGTTAGGCTTCAGGCATTGCTGTATGCTCATGGGAAAGGTTGTCCAGTCTAATTTGACTTCTATTATGCTGTCGAACATTAGCAGAATGGCTAATCAATGAGCCTTTATATCTTAGTGCTTGAATGCAAACACGCACACTCACACATAGGCAAGCATTTCAGAAGTTCCCCGTAAACAACATACAGCTTCACCATGTAGAATCATGCTAAGACCCTGACACGCTCGCACACAAAAACTGCATAAAATCTAGATGGCTCCGAGACCGTGAGTGCCTGTACCCCGTTGCTGAAGGGGGCGTCGCCACGTTGAGCATTTCCATGGTGAACATGTTCGGTTGCTATGTAATTATGGCCTATTTGTATGAGAGCCTGCACCTGAAGTGGGTCTGACTGCTGCTCATATGATTGGCCGTGCATGCGTGTGTCATTATGTGTAAGAATCAACAGCATGGAAGTTAGCTTTAATTTCACATTTGCATTACAAGAGAAGGGAAATTATGTTTGCAGGCCTGGGTTTCGAGTGTGTGGCATTTGCATGTACTTGCTGTCTGTGCAGGTTTATGCAGAGCTCTGTTTTTGTGTGCGAGGACAAACGTGTTACTGGATTATTCTACTGTTGTTCAAATAATTTGGCAAATTCCACCTCTAATCACGTGATTCTGTCTGACTCCACCCATTTCTGGGGAAATAACGCTGCACGACACAAAGCTGCCACCAGCTGCCTAACTTTCTCCCCTGCAATTATCTCCAGACCAACATCTAGACTTACAGCTCCTTACTGCTCCTTCCTGACCTATCAGCTGGGCTTTAAAGCCGCATCACCATGGAAACATAAAAGCCAGTCGAGTCAAAATCACATATTAACTGCAGACGGACACAATGAGGTCTAAGGGTATGAATTACATGAAGATGCCTGTCAGACCCCCAGCTGGTAACATGAAGGTGGTTGATTATGTTTTTAAAGCTGTTTGCATGTCATATAAATATGAATTTGTCAATAACACCAAGTTGATACGTCCTGTGGCACTGGCAAAGATACAGATTTGTGTAGAAATTGTTTCTACACATTTAATCTTAGGAAAAAAATATTAGGTGACCAAAAAATCAAAACACAGCATTTATTAAATATTGTGTGTTAAATGTTTGGACATAAATAGCGTGACATGATTTAGCCAAGTTGAACATGTTCCTGGATCAACAATCTTTGTTGGTCCTGAAGCAACATTGCTATCACAATCATAGGGGAAACCCTATTCCAACCTGTACCCACCCTAACTTAAGGGTGAAATAAAATATATCAAATATAATAAAAATAAAATAAATAAAATGTAAATAAAATTACATATAAAATAAAATGACATTAAAAAATAAATAAAATAAAATAAAATAAAAATGTCTTTGACTGACAGCCATAGTTTTAAACATTTTCTTCAGGTTTATACATCTAACAGTACCCTAATAGTAGGTAGAAAATCAGTGTCAGCTTAATAGAAACTAAATATTTTACAGGTAACATTTTCCACAGCATAAATGTGGTCTTTATACATTCAAATATGGCTGTCATTTGAGTTATCATTTTTGGGGTCTGTGGGATCAAAAAGTTAGGAATCCCCTGCAAGCAACCCTTGAAATCAGAGGGAAATGATTGGCTGATAAAAATGTTGTTGACCCAGCCCCAGCTCTACATCTAAACTTACACCTAAAATCTGATTGGTTGATAAGAATGTTGTCCTGCTTGGGTAAATCATGTTAAGCAACATGCACAAGAACATACAGTACACATTGTGATTGACCCTAATAAATCATGTTCCCAGATACACATCATTTATTGGTCCTGGAACCACAAATCAGTAGCTTAAAACTATTCCCTAAATCAGAGGTCACCGATTTGTTGCCAGATAAGCACTTCCAGGATGTTGATCCAGGAACATGCCCAATTTGGGTGGATAATGTTAAGCATGAAGCTCCAGTTTTTGAGCTCCAGTTATGACAGGAACACCAGAGAAAGACACATATCATACCTGTGTTGTTGTTGTTTATGTGTTTGAGTCTTTTCTGGTGTGTTTTGCCATTGTAGTGTATCTGTGCTTGTGCTGCGGAGTTCAGCTGAATGTTGCACACTTCACAGAGTGTGTACGACCTGTGTTTGCGCTCCCGCTTTGGACGAGAGTTTATCGGTGGGGCTTTCTGTCTTGTAAACTCCACCCCTTCAGAGGACACACCCTCATGCCCAGTCTGTTCAGTCAGCAACCCGTCTTCAACAGGACTCAATGGACGCTTCATTCCTAAAGAGAGTACAAAAGTTATTTTAATTCATCTAAAATATTTTATGATCTCCATCTAAAAACTTTTTAAACCACATTTTCTCAATTTTATATTAATACAAAAAGTTTTCTCTGACTTCATACTAATTGCATTTTGAACAACTGATTTGTCACATCGAAGCAGCAAAATTATAAATGGTAAAAAAAAGAAATATGTACATATACAGACACACACACACACACACAAAAATGTAGGGTTGGTAAGCTGTTTTAATGTTTTAAAGTCTCTTATGTTCACTAATGTTGCATTGAATTAAAAGTACAGTAAAACAGTAACATGACAGTAATACTATAATTAAAAGAACAATTTTCTATTTTATTATATTTTAAAATGTAATTTATTCCTGTGATGCAAAGCTGAATTTTCAGCATCATTACTCCAGTCTTCAGTGTCACATGATCCTTCAGAAAGTATTCTAATATGCTGAGAATATGCTTTTTGCCCCAGGATTCTTTGATGAACAATGTTCAAAAGAACAGCATTTACTTCAAATAAAAATCCTTTGTCACTTTGGATCAATTTAATGCATCCTTGATGTATGAAAAACTTACTGACCCTAAACTTTTGAACTGTAGTGTTTTCTGTTTATGGTTTTCTGACAATCTCTGGGGATTACAGCAGTGCTACTGACCGCCACTAGGGGGAGATATTCATCAACAATGCCCAGAACTGACCTTTTTTTTTTTTTTTTTACACTTAAATACAGTCATATGTTATATATGACACTTTTTTAAATTTATCTGCTTCTTCAAAATAATAATAAATAAAAAAAATCTTTGCATGTAGCTCATGAATATCATTTTGTGCACCACTAGCCTACTATACTAAACCCCATAATCTCTGGACTTGTCTATCAAACACACACCTCACACAGACAAACATATACTAGAGCATTTTACACACGCACACAGGCCCCATTGATCCAGCGCCTCCTTCTCTAAACACCACTCCCTGACCACAGAGCACAAACACACATCTGTCTCTGCCGCCCAAACATACTGTAAACCCACCCCACCCAACTCACAACACTCCAACTATGATTGGTTAAACATTACAACTAAAATAAAATGCGAAAATAAGTAAATCAATTAAAACACTCTTTCATTAACATCTGCTCAGATTAAGAAGCAATGATTCTGTAAGGATTTTGATTTAAAACTGAGGGAAATGGACAGTAATAATCTGTCAGTGTTATAATGATATTCCTCAGAAACTGCTGTTCCATTAATGACTTTATCCTTCATATTGTCGGCCGTTTGAGCTCTTTGCTGCAGGACTCAACAATATGGACGGCTGGGCCAGTGTGAGAGATTTTGCGGCCAGTTGACTGAACTGTCACTTACCTACTGAGCAGAGCTGCGTTGTCATAACATTTTACATTTATTAATTACCTTTATGTGTTTCTACACACACACACACACACACACACACACACACTTGTTGGGTTTCCATGTTTTATGGGGACTCTCCATAGACTTAAGTTTGTTTCCTCATGGGGACCTAAAAAATGTCCCCACAAGGTCAAAATTACCTTCTTGAAGTGAGCAAAACCTGACAAAATCTCCAAAAACCTCCCTTTGGAGACATCCTGATTTGTAATTTGTAAATAAAAATTAAGTAAATTAAGTTTTTTTTTTAAATTGTAAAAATGCAGAAAATTTCCTGCAAGGGGTAGGTTAAGGTATAGGGCAATAGAATAGTTTTGTACAGTATAAAAACCATTACGCCTATGGAATGTCACCACTTAGCTAAGTAAACGTGTGTGTGTGTATATATATATATATATATATGCGTGTGTGTGTGTGTGTGTGTGTGT